AAGTTTGTGAAAGTCATCTTGCAACACACTCTGTACAGTCTGTCTTCCTTAAAGGAACACTACAGTGTATTTTTTAGTATCTACTTGCTGAATGGCTCAGTGCAGACCTATGCACAGCAGAGGTCCCGGTACAGTACCAGCGTACACAGGCGCAGTCCCTGTATAGAGTAGTGCCAAACTGATTACTTCCTTGTGTAACTAGTTTAAAACCCAATAAATGGATTGTTTTTAACACCTGGCTTTTGTCTTCATTAAGTAGAGAGATCAGTTCTGTAGAGGTAACTCTACTGGATTCCTTCTGCATCCATAAATCTAGATCTGAAAACTCATGCCCCCTGACCACAGTGAATTATCTAGGTTGGACCTGTCCATTACAGTAGCTAATAGCTACATGTGGCTATTTACATTTAAATTAAAATTTCATTTCCTCAAGTGCTGATTAGCCATTTGTGGCTAGTGGCTTACCCTAGTTGATAGCACAGATCAGTGTTTTTATCAGAAAGTTATATTGGACATCATTGGTCTAGAGCAGCGGTTCTCAACCTGTGGGTCGTGACCCCTTTGAGGGTTGAATGACCCTTTCACAGGGGTCGCCTAAGACGTAACAGTAGCAAAATTAGTTATGAAGTAGCAACGAAAATAATTTTATGGTTGGGGGTCACCACAACATGAACTGTATTAAAGGGTTGTGGCATTAGGAAGGTTGGTCTAGATGATTGATATATCTAAGAATCACGTGGAGATTTTGTTAAAATATGAATTTTAATTCATGCTCTCAGCTCATGATACTAATGCCTGGTCCTGAGATCACACTTTGAGTAGTGAGGCTTTATATTAGCCAGTTAGGCTTTCTCTAAGCTGTATGAAACTGCCTTCACAACGTTCCTGAAGCAGAGCTTCAAAAAGTGTAAGATACTGGGTCCACTGTGTTCCTCAGTAAGAGTCTCTGGTGGGGTCTTGCCATCAACATCTTTTTTTTTTTAATCATCCTCACCCGAGGATATTTTTCCATTCAGATAGAGTGGGAGGGAGAGAGAGGAACAGAGAGAGAGAGAGAAACATCGATGTGAAAGGGACACATCGAGTGGTCGCCACCCGCACGACCCACCAGGGCCGGGGACAAACTGCAACCGAGGTACATGCCCTTAGCGGGAACCGAACCCAGGTCTCTCCGGACCGCAGGCCGACGCTCTAACCGCTGAGCCAAACCGGCCAGGACCATCAACATCTTTTAAAGCTCCATAATGCTTCATTGGTGCAGCCAGGACCGAGAACTCTGGTGAAGACTAAAGCCGCTATAGACCAAAAACAGTACAAATCTGATTTTCTAATGTGCCTTGTGTGATTCTGATAACAGGTTTAAACGTTGCTTATTACCTTGGTACCCCAGTCTGGTTATACTGTGAATTATTTAATTAGCTTTCTACCAGTGGCCTCAATAATGGGGGGTGGGGTGGAGAAAAGGGGTGGATGGCTACTATTGTCCAAGAGTTCTTTTTTTTTTTTTTTTAATAAATTTTGTTCTTTATTGATTTTAGAGAGAGAGAGGAAGGAAGAGGGGGAGAGAGAGAGAAACATCGATGAGAGAGAACATCGATTGGCTGCCTCCAGCACACCCCCCACTGGGGATCAGGCCCACAACCTGGGCATGTGCTCTCACTGGGAGTCGAACCGGTGACCTCTTGGTGTGCACGGGTCGATGCACAACCACTGAGCCACACCTGCTGGGCTGTCTAAGAGTTCTTAGGTGTATGTTGCAGAACAATGTTAAGGAAGGTTTCTAGAGAGGAGAGGTGAGTGGTGAGAAGTGAGGAGAAAGCCTGTATCTTTGAGGTAAGAGCTAATAATCTTTAGTTTCTGAATTGAATGTATTTTTTTTTTAAAATATATTTTAATGAGAACACTTTCTAACCATCTTTAAATGAAAATGACTTGCATTTTAAAATCTGAAACAGCTCTGGCATTAGGGCCAGTTGCTTCCTGGTCCACGGGGCTTGGATGTCACTGCACTCCTAAACAACCTCAATATTGAGGCAGGTGTGAGCCGTGTCCAACTCTGTGGGAAGTCCTGTGGCAACCTCAGGGGCTTCTTATCAAACGTTTAACCACTTTCACTTTTGCATTCACCAAAGGGATGTTCTTATGAACTTGAGGAGTATGCACTTTTTCTAATCCAAGCATCTGTATTACATCTTTTTCCCAATATGGACGTCTTTTTGTACTTTTTATTCTAGTAACAATATGCAGTTTATGAGGGTGCTGTGGATCCCCACCATCTTTTTCATGATCTTCAGGTGAAGGCTGAAACACTTTATCTGGAATTCTTGACTTGGTAAATTTGTGAGGAATTCAATCTGTACAAACGAGACTCCACGCCTTTTGTCAGAGTGTGTAGTCAGTCAGGGGACTCAACTATTGAGTGCAGAATCCCAGCCATGAGTGTGGGGACTGTCCTCTGCAGAGGCAGCGGTTGCTAAATGCTGTTAAACCTCAATTTGCCTGCCGACAGGAAGCGGAACCTGAATTGGATCTCTTCAACAAAGACTTTGTAAAGTGTGTTTCAAAATTTAGGATGAAAATTTACCCACCAATTCTCTTAATGTGAATGAATAAGTTTTGGTGCCCCCCCCCCCCCCCCCTGCCAAATTATAGGTTGAGAAAGCTGTTTTCAAATATTTGAAAAGTCATTGCCAAGCCCGTAGGTTGCAGGCCAATTTTGGTAATTAGTGTGGCCAGAAAGAACCAGTGAGAAATTTTGTTTCACTGAAAAATTAAACTTTTTCCACATGGTCTTAATAGTTATTTTTATTGACAATGACCATTTCTCTTGTTTATATAATTGTGGGCATTCCCCCATTGTTGAATATTGAGATTGCTTTCAGTTTTCCCTACTACAAATTATACTGCAATGAACATTTTCATACCTTCATGCTTAAAACTTTTCTTCAAGTATTTCCTTAGGATAAGTTCCAAGGAGTGAGATTTTTAAGTCAATAATCTAAACATTAAGTGGCTCTGATGATGTTTTCCTCAAAGTGCGCATGTATCAATTTGCATTGCCAATAACTATTAGAATGCTGATTTCCTTGCAAATTGATAGCCATTCAAAAATATATATAAAAATGCTTATTGAGTTTTTTAGGAGGAGAGAGAAACATCCATTGGCTGCCGTCTGCACACCCCTACTGGGGATCAAGCCCCAAACCAGACATGTGCCCTGAACCAGGAATCAAACCAGGACCTCTCAGTCCACTGAGCCACACTGGCCGGGCACCATTCATATTTTTGCAGGTTTTCCTTTTTTTTTTTTTTTTTTTTTTATTACTAAGCCAGTGTTCTTTTCAATTTGGCACACTTGGCTGGCACATTTGGTAGACATACTTATCGTAGCTTTAGCCTTGCTGATGATACTGAATGGTTCTGGAACTCTGGTATTTCCTAATTTCCTCCTCCTGATCTCTAAAATTCTTTCCAACCTGTACATCTGTCTCCCCTTCCCCAGTATGAGATAATTCCTCCCACAGGTGTAACTCTGCTGTGTGTCAGCCCAAACCTATTGTAATTTCCTGGGATGGCCAGTCACCTGGAAATGAGCTTGCAATTATTGAGTAGCTAATTCATATGGAAAGGGATATAACTTGGGAGTTTCCACTCTCAATACTAATGTCTTCTTTTCCTGCTGATTACTTCTAGGGCCCAAGGTCACCATTGCCGACAACACAGATTAGACCTGCTGTATTGCAAGTGTTCGGGAGTGGAGTATTAATGGGAACTGATGGGAAATTTTTCTTTAGAAAGTTCATTTCTAAACAATTTTGGGAGCTTGGTCAACTCCTGGACTGAATGTCTACTTCATGAATTATCCAACCCTTTTGTTTTTTGATGAATGCACAGAGGAACTGGGGAAGAAGTTATTTACATAAATGAAATTCCTTGGTACTTGGTACCAAACACTTTAGCCACAATAGGATTTCAACAGCAATATTCTCACTAAGGATTTCACTTAATGGAATTAATTTTCTGGCACCAGGGTGCAGGAAAGGGCATTCAAATTGCATTCTTATTTCTGAATACTACCTGCGCCCCCACACCCCAGGTTAGAAACATACTAAGATCCCAATTACCCAGACTAGCCAGCATACCTAAGAATGTTACTTGGTGGCTCAGACTAAAATTAAACCGGGTTTATGAGTTCATTGTTGGGGACGTATGGACTCTACAGTGAGAGGGTGGTAGTTTGGCTTAGTGTTCTTGCTTACTAAAATGTGCCTATAGCTGCACACCAACGACCATTGCTTTCCATGGTTTTTAACACTCAACGTTCATGTCCATGTCCTTAAGGCTTGGTTGTTTGCATGGGTAGTTTCTCTTTACTTTGCATTTGTTTTCTAGTAATTCCCTTAGCTGAGTTCCATCAGAGCACAAAGAGAAGAAAAAATGTAATTCTTCTTATAAAGTTGGTTTGATTTAAATTGTTATAATGACTTGATTTACAAATGCTAAGTCCCAAAGTAGGAACTGGACGATGATGCCAGTGTAGGAGGACACGTACTGGCCGCAGGCCGGAGGGCCTGGCAGCGCGGGCAGTGGGCCGCGGCCGGCGAGAAGCCCGGGGAGGCCCCCGGACCCCGCTAAGAGGCAGACATGAGGCCGCCACCCGCCCACGGCACGGGTGCCATTCCTCGGGGACCGCGATCCCCGTGGGTCGCTGTGTGCCATCGGTGCCCCCGCCCTCCCCCTCCTTCCCACCCCGTCCGCCTGCCCCTCTTCCTGTCTATCAGCCGGACTCCGGAGCCCGGACTCCGGAGGGCCAAGCGCGCGGAGGACGGGAGCGGCCGGCCCGGCGCGCGAGGCCCGCGAGGCGGCGAGGGTGCGAGGGCAGGCGGGGCGCCAGGCCAGGGTGCCCGGCGGAGGGGGCGGCGCCCTCCGCGGCTCGGTGACTGCGCCGCTGCGCCCCCCGCTCGCCGGGCTCCCAGGATGCGCGGAGGCGGCAGCGATGGCGATGATGCCTCCAGCCCTGCATCATCCCGGGAGGCGCGCGGGGCTGGGGTCCGGGCTGCGAGATGGAGCGGGGGCTGCGCTGCGGCCACCGGGCAGGTGAGCGGCTGCAGGTCCCTGGAGGGGGCGACTGCACAGGACCGGCGGGTCGGGCTCCGGGGGCCGGCGGAGGAGCGAGGAGCGCGCTGCGCTGGTCCAGGCCGGGCCGCCGTGCACCTGCGGTCCTGGCACAGTCCGAGGGGCAGCGAGCTGCCCCTGCCCGGCAGGCTCCCGAGCCCGTGGCGCGTGGAACCCCTGCCCCCCAGCCCGTGGCCTGGCCGAGCCCTCCTCACCCCACCAACTCTCTCCCCACTCGTTTGCTAGCTTCCCTGGCCCGGCCTAGGCCCTCCTTACATTAGCCTTCCGCACCTTGGGAGCTCCTACCCATCGCCAGCCCCTGGCAGGGATCCACTCCCATCCCCAGACTGGGGGCTCCACAGCCCCCCTATTCCCTTCAGCCACTGACCTTCCCCCACCCCACCCGCTGCTCCAGCTTCAAGAGGTTCAGTTGGGGACAAAGAGCTTGGGCTCTGCCATCTGATAAACCCAGCTTGAATCTTAGTGACCTTGGGCAAGTCATCTAGCTCCCTGAGGTTTTCCGGATCAATACAAATACAGTGGAAATGATAATAATACAGAACTTTGCTCTCTGAGGGTCAGACTCTGAAAATGTCCTCAGGGAATGTAAGGCATCATGAGGGAAAAAATGAGTGGGGAGAATCCAGGTCATGAGTTGACTTCGGAAAGCACATATAAAATGTTTTAATATATATTAAAATAGTTAGCCCACTAAATTATCAGACTCTTCACACGTCTTAAGGAGAAATCATTGCCATTGGACGATAAATTGTCATTGACCATCATCTCTTGCTTACTAGTTTCTTTAGGATCCCTCCTCCTTAGTTGTAACAAGATGCATATGATATGAATTCAGTCCATGTTACTGTAGTTAATATTCCTGCTTAAGTTAGTGTTCCAACTTAAAATTTTTCTTGTTTTATGACTTTAATCACATCACCCTCCAGGACCTATTTATGGTTCCAGAGATAAAGAGTAGCTTGTATGCTTGCATTGAAAAAGAACATTGGTGACTTTGATTTAATATATTTAGGCATAGCAAATAGTCTTCATGTATCCCCATCCTCAAATCACTGAGTTTTATAGTTCTGCCTTCATGACTTTGTTCCAAATTGTGATCCCAGCCTCCTCTTTCTTATAGTCCCAAAGTTAGTACTAAGACCTGAAGGGTTTATTTCCCTCCATTTTCCTTTATTTCCTTTATTTTGTCTTCCAAAACCTTTACTTCTATTCTGTTTTTCCTCACTTTTCTCTACAGCCTCTGATTCCCAACTCCCCCCCCCCCCCACCAAATTATCCCAATAGGAGTGATTTATTATTACATTATACCAGAATCATAATTATCAACCTTGACAAAAAGATACACAGAAGTGTGTGTGTGTGTGTGTGTGTGTGTGTGTGTGTGTGTGTAAGAGAGAGAGAGAGAGAGAGAGAGAGAGAGAGAGAGTGTGTATTCAAATTTTGGGTTCCAAGAACTTTGAGTTGGGAAGAGATTGCAATACCTGCTTGATAGGATTAAACTGAGAATGAAATAAAGTTGGATAACTTATGTAAAGCTTCTAGTATACGTTCTTGGCATATAATAACCACCCAATAAATTATAGCTGCTGTAACCCTCTTCTGGTCTGGGGATCCTTCCCTTGATCCCTTTGCTGTTCCGTTTGGCACGATGGTGGACAGTGTGGGCTTTGGACAGTCACCGACTCCATTCACATCTGTGCTCTCCCGCTTTCCGTCAGGTGCTCTCTCTGACTCAGTTTCCTCAACCACCAAATGGGATACGTTATAGTAACTATCTCAGAGTCGTCGTGAGGATCCAGGAAGGTAAGAGCGTGGAGCACTGAGAACGGTGGCCGGCGCGTCATAAGCACTCAGTGAAGCTAACATACTAGTAACGATACTGATAATATTCCTGACCTACAATTCTCCATTATTATTTAATCTACTGAAAACATTATAACTGTACAAACAGTGAAATTTGCCCTCCATCATCTCCAAATCTTTTTTCCTCCTACCTCTTACCCTGACTAATGTTGGTGCCTCATGGTCTCATTTTCCTCTTGACGGCTCTGTGTCCGTATATCTCCTAGGATGGGGTCTTCATAACTTTCATCCTCTACTTCTTCACTATGACCCAGGAACTCTTAGCATCCTAATTCCAGATTCTTCATCCAACTAATTTCCCCAAACCAAACTCCTGCTCCTCTCTTCACCCCATTCATCTCCTACTTCCAAGGGGGAAAGCCTTCGGAAGGGGGAGGGGAGAGCTTACTGTAAACTTGAGTGTCACTACTCCTCCTGCCTCCTCCCTTTGGGCTTTCTCTTCTACTCCTCTTTTCATCCTCCAATCCTCCAATCCACAATTTAAAAAGTGCCCTGGCCGGTTTGGTTCAGCGGTTAGAGCGTCGGCCTGCGGTCCGGAGAGACCCGGGTTCGGTTCCCGCTAAGGGCACGTACCTCGGTTGCAGTTTGTCCCCGGCCCTGGTTGGGTCCTGCGGGTGGCAGCCACTCGATGTGTCCCTTTCACATCAATGTTTCTCTCTCTCTCTCTCTCTCCCTCCCTCTCTATCTGAACAAAATATTGAAAAATGTCCTCGGGTGAGGATAAAAAAAAACCAACAAAAAAACAATTTAAAAAGTAGCAATGGGGTATCTCTTTCACTACATAGGTATTAAAAAGTGTTCAGAGCCCTGGCCGGTTTGGATCAGTGGTTGGAGCATCGACCTGCGGACCAGAGAGTCCTGGGTTCGGTTCCTGCTAGGGGCGGATACCAAAAAAAAAAAAAAAAAGGTGTTCAGAAACAGAATACGATTAAGTGAAAACAAGCTATTGATTATTTTTAAAATTCTTATCATTAAGAAACAAAGGTCAGGATTGATATTATTCTCTCTCACTGAACTTTTATAAGGAAAGTACAGAAAAGTTGGTCTCACTTTCCAGTGGGGAAATTCATCATATTGTCATGATCTGCACCCACTGACTATTGAGACTATAGCTAAGGTTACCTTCTTCCTTCATGAAGGACACTAGTTAGTTATGTGTGTCTCCCCAGGACTGAAGTCTGTCTGATGCTCACTGGCACAGCCATACCTGTTGCTGAAATGCCAAGAGGCGTCTGTACCTTGGGTGGTCCATAGCTGCTTCTTGGAGTCCCCAGTAATCCCTCACTGACTTAGCCCCTTTCTCTGCACCCCCTGATCCAGCACCTAAAGGGTTAACCTCTGGCACAGCCGGAGGCCACAGGAACCTGGCTCCAGCTGGTGGTTAAATATTCTGAGCAGCACTCCCGGACCTCCCCAGTGCCATGGTAATTTCTAAAATGCTGGATGAAAGCGAATGCCGGCTGGTTGTCCAGAGTATTGCATCAGTCTCCAAGGAGCAACTTAGGCTGCCCCACTTGGAAGCATTTGGGGGAGCAGGGTGGGCACCAAGCCACTCAAGGCTTTGGGATTTGGGATAACAGAAGATTTGTGTGAGTGTACTTTAAATCTCCTTGCAAAATAGGGGCGGGGGAAAGGTTAAGAAAATAAAGCAACAAGAAGAAAAACAAGTTCTCTTAAAGTAGAGGCTGTGTCTTACTCATCTTTTTACCCACAGCACCTGGCATAACGCTGGGGTGTAGTATCACATAATAAAAGTAAATTGGGTGGATGAATGCATGAGTGGGTGAATGCAGGAGTGCACCCTGCTCCATCATGAAGATATTCTTGTTGGAGTAATGCTAACTCACATTTACGTCGCAGTTGAAAGTTTACAAAGTGGTGCTTTGCACCTTGTAAGTCTCAAATATAATTCCGATACCCTTCATTCCTTTCATTTTTCCCTCAAAGGTAGTCAGTCCTACACAGTTTTTTCCAAAGAAGGGTATGGAGTTGGCCAAGAAATCACAAGCAGGAAGAAGAAATGGTAAATAATGGCAAATAAAGGGTTCTTCTTAGGGGAACAGATAGGATTTGTGTGTGGTTTGTGGGAGTTACATGAAGGGCTACGGTACACTTCAGCAATCCCCTCTGCTTCTATTTTCGGCTCATGCTGTGTTTCTCTGCTGTCCTGCTGCAAAGTCCAACTCCCCTTCTCGGAGTCTGTCCGTCCCTACTCCCTGCCCCTCACCTTCTACCAGCTCACTCCTTCCCCTCACCAGAACTCCCTTCAGCCTCTCAGCCCCACCCCAGGCTGGATCCGTCCCCTCTCTTATTTCCTCAGCACCCGCTATCCTGATTTACCACTTCAGGCTGTAATTACATCGCTAGGCTGATCTCAACTAGACTGTGATCTCTGACCGAGAGGTTGTGTTTTTGTGTCTCCAGTGTCTGGCACGAGGGTGTTTCTAAAAGTAACATCTGGACACCCTTCGATCAGAATCTCCATGAGTGAGGCCCAGGACTCTACTTTTTTTTTTTTTCTTTCATCCTCACCTGAGGACATTTTTCCATTTTTTGTACAGATAGAGTGGGAGGAAGAGAGAGAGAGAGAGAGAAAAACATCGATGTGAAAGGGACACATCGAGTGGCTGCCACCCGCACGACCAACCAGGACCGGGGACAACCTGTAACCGAGGTACGTGCCCTCGGGAACCGAACCCGGGTCTCTCTGGACCGCAGGCCGATGCTCTAACCGCTGAGCCAAACCGGCCAGGGCCCAGGACTCCACTTTTTTAACCCGCTCTCGAGGTGATGCTTCAAACCGGTTTGAAAACCACTCTCACAAACCCTCAAACTAGCTGGCTGGCTGAATTTGGAGGTGTTTGTGTCTTTTTTATGTCGGGCTGTTTGTGCACTGGGTCAAAGCTGACACGTTCTAGTTCTTTTGTCAAAGATCATGAGCTCACTCTACTTGCTACCTTAATTCCTTTCTGTTTCAGGGTGTGCGTTTTCCTGTGTGGGCTTTTCTGCCTTGGGTCTCTTTTGTCACCTACAGCTCATCTGTGAGTTGAGGCCCTGACTCCCTCTCCCCAGAAGGACGAGACCTTTCTCTCTGAAGATGAACTCAACGGACCTCCTGCAGGATGCGCCCAACAGCACCTCGCTCCTCCCGCCCCACGCCCCGGGGGGCAACAGCACCGCTCTGCAGGAGGGTCTCCAGGGGCTGGTCCACACAGCCACTCTGGTGACCTGCACTTTTCTCCTCGCCGTCATCTTCTGCCTGGGCTCTTACGGCAACTTCATCGTCTTCTTGTCCTTCTTTGATCCAGCCTTCAGGAAATTCAGAACCAACTTCGATTTCATGGTCCTGAACCTGTCCTTCTGTGACCTCTTCATCTGCGGAGTGACAGCCCCCATGTTCACCTTCGTGTTATTCTTCAGCTCAGTCAGCAGCATACCGGATGCTTTCTGCTTCACCTTCCACCTCACCAGCTCCGGCTTCATCCTCATGTCCCTCAAGACGGTGGCAGTGATCGCCCTGCACCGGCTCCGCATGGTGCTCGGGAAGCAGCCGAACCGCACGGCCTCCTTTCCCTGCACCCTGCTCCTCACCCTGCTCCTCTGGGCCACCAGCTTTACCCTCGCCACCTTGGCCACCCTGAAGACCAGCAAGTCCCACCTCTGCCTTCCCATGTCCAGTCTGATTGCTGGAGAAGGAAAAGCTGTTCTGTCCCTCTACGTGGTGGACTTCACCTTTTGTGTTGCTGTGGTCTCTGTCTCCTACATCATGATTGCTCAGACCCTGCGGAAAAATGCCCAAGTCAGAAAATGCCCCCCAGTAATCACAGTTGATGCTTCCAGACCACAGCCTTTCATGGGGGCGCCTGTGCAGGGAGGTGGCGATCCCATCCAGTGCGCCATGCCAGCTCTGTACCGGAACCAGAATTACAACAAACTGCAGCACATTCAGACCCACGGGTACACCAAGAGTTCCAATCAGCTGCCAAGCCCTGCGGCCAGCCGCCTGCAGCTGGTGTCAGCTGTCAATCTCTCCACAGCCAAGGATTCCAAGGCGGTGGTCACCTGTGTGATCATTGTGCTGTCGGTCCTGGTGTGCTGTCTTCCGCTGGGGATTTCCTTGGTGCAGGTGGTTCTGTCCAGAAGCGGGAACTTCATCCTTTACCAGTTTGAACTGTTTGGATTCACCCTTATATTTTTTAAGTCAGGATTAAACCCTTTTATATACTCTCGGAACAGTGCAGGGCTGAGAAGGAAAGTGCTCTGGTGCCTCCACTACGTAGGCCTGGGTTTCCTCTGCTGCAAACAGAAGACCCGACTTCGAGCCATGGGCAAAGGGAACCTCGAAGTCAACAGAAACAAATCCTCTCATCACGAAACAAACTCTGCCTACATGTTGTCTCCAAAGCCCCAGAAGAAATTTGTGGACCAGGCTTGTGGCCCAAGTCACTCGAAGGAGAGTGTGGTCAGTCCCAAGATCTCCGCTGGACATCAACACTGTGGTCGGAGCAGCTCAACACCCATCAACACTCGGATGGAGCCGTACTACAGCATCTACAACAGCAGCCCCTCCCAGGAAGACAACATCCCGTGCAACTTGCAGCCAGTAAGCTCGCTTGGATTCGCCCATTCCTATATGGCCATGCATTATCACACCACTAATGATCTAAGGCAAGAATATGACAGCATGTCAGCCAAGCAGATTCCTGTCCCCTCTGTGTAGTCACGAAGGCTGGAGGATCTTGTGTAAACTGTTTTGGTTTCTGATGCTAATAGATTTTTTTTTTCCCACTTTTGTGAGACTAGTAGTAGATCAGAACTTAAAGATTCAACTAAACAGTGGGCAGTTATGATTTTCTTTTCTCTGAAGTATTGGCATCTATTGGTTTGCTTTGTGGTTTCTTGACATTTTAAGATTTAGTGTATAACAAAAACAAATTAACAAAACAATAAGTAAAAAAAAAAAGATTTAATGTAAAAGTTTACTATTTAGATTTTTATCCTGACCTGTATTTCAATCTTTTGTACTAAACTTTGAACTAGATCATGCTACTGTGTTAAAATAGAGAATGAATTGATTATGGTCCTTTGACTGGGTTAGAGGTCTTTGAGGTATATATGAACTGGAGATTTTAAAGAATGTGAAGGTATGATTTTTACTGAGGTGTTATTTTATTGAATGATAAATTTTGATTCTTTCAAGTGTTGAAATGGGGAAGAATACACTTTTTTGGTAGCAGACTTATTAGAATAAATACTATATTGTTAAAGCAGAATTGTTAAAGCTATAATTATTCTTACCAAAAAAATACATAGGTATTAGGCACTGTCCTAAGACAGTCAACCAAGACTATAGTATTATGATTATTACCATTTATTATTATAGACATTATTACTTTGTGTCAGTTGAGTAGCTATGTAGTTTTTTGTTTCGTTTGTAAAGAAAGATGTGTTTCCTTGGTAAACGTGAATCATTGTATTTCAGAACGAGCTTACCCAGAATGCTAGTGAAGGGGACTGCACTCTGGTGGAGGTGTGCTCTTCTGGCTCTTCCAGTGGAGGGGACGGCACTCTGGTGGAGGTGTGCTCTTCTGGGCTCTTCCAGTGGAGGGGAGTGCACTCTGGTGGAGGTGTGCTCTTCTGGGCTCTTCCAGTGGAGGGGACTGCACTCTGGTGGAGGTGTGCTCTTCTGGCTCTCCATTGGAGGGACGGCACTCTGGTGGGGTGTGCTCTTCTGGGCTCTCCAGTTGGAGGGGATTGCCACTCTGGTGGATGTGTGCTCTTCTGGGCTCTTCCAGTGGAGGGGACGGCACTCTGGTGGAGGTGTGCTCTTCTGGGCTCTTCCGGTGGAGGGGACGGCACTCTGGTGGAGGTGTGCTCTTCTGTGCTCTTCCAGTGGAGGGGAGTGCACTCTGGTGGAGGTGTGCTCTTCTGTGCTCTTCCAGTGGAGGGGACTGCACTCTGGTGGAGGTGCGCTCTTCTGGGCTCTTCCAGTGGAGGGGACTGCACTCTGGTGGAGGTGTGCTCTTCTGGGCTCTTCCGGGAGGGGAAGTGCACTCTGGTGGAAGGTGTGCTCTTCTGGGCTCTTCCAGTGGACGGGGAGCTGCACTGACTTGGGAGGTGTGCTCTTCTGGGCTCTTCCAGTGGAGGGGACGGCACTCTGGTGGAGGTGCGCTCTTCCGGGCTCTTCCAGTGGAGGGGACGGCACTCTGGTGGAGGTGTGCTCTTCTGGGTGTGTCGGTGCCAGATGTGTTCCTCTCAGTCAGGGTTGCACTGTGAGAAGCAATGGGATTGTTATGTGTTAGACGATCTTTATTATTGCTTAGGAAGGCGTAAGGGTGAGAATGAGAATTATTTTTTGTTTTTAATCCTCACCCGATGATATTTTTTCATTAATTTGTTTAGATAGAGTGGAAGGAAGGGAGGGAGGAGGGTGGGAGAGAGAGAGAGAAACATTGATGTGAGAGAGGCATATCAGTTGGTTGCCTCACATAAGACTGGGCCAAGGATTGAACCTGCAACCCAGGTACACGCACCTTTGACTGGGAATAAAACCCGAGACCCTTTGGTCTGAGGGCCGACGCTCCAACCGCTGAGCCAAACCGGCCAGGACTGGAAATGTTTCGATTTATGCTTTTCTTTTGTGAGACTAGGTTGTTAACCATCCGATGAAGAGTATCCAGGTAACTATTTAGAAATAATTTTTTTGGTCTTTATTTATATATTATTGTGGTAGAAAAATTCTTAAGTTCTATTTTTAAACCAAATGTTTTATTTCTCTCCTATTAATCTTAACCTAGAGATGAGCAGTAAGGAAAAATAGATTATTTCTATACCTAAAACTAATTTTATTATATGTGCTGTGAGCTCTAGCATAACAACTGTAAATTCATATTTTTATGTAAAAATATTTTTATTTACAGTTAGCATTTGAACTTGTTATAGTTTTGGAATTAGAACTGCTTAGACATCAGGTGAGCATCAAGATACAAAATCTGTCTTTGTAAATTGTTATATTCAAGATCAGTAATTGCAGATTGGAAGGCACTTTGCTCATGGGGATGAATGATACTCAGTTTATAGCATCCTCTCCCAGGCTGTTCCCACTGCAGAGGTCACGAGGGGCATGAAGAAGACCAGGTAGATACTCAGAACTCTGCTCACCTGCATCTAACAACTCTTACCTTTCAATATCAACCATTTATTTCTATTTCTGAGTTTGAAGGATGAGATATCTGTTTCTTTTTTTTTTTTTTTTTTTATCCTCACCTGAGGATACTTTTCCATTTTTTGTTCAGGTAGAGTGGGAGGGAGAGAGAGGAACAGAGAGAGAGAGAGAAACATCGACATGAAAGGAACACATCGAGTGGCTGCCACCCGCACGCCCGACCAGGGCCGGGGACAAACTGCAACCGAGGTACGTGCCCTTAGCGGGAACCGAACCCGGGTCTCTCTGGACCGCAGGCTGACGCTCCAACTGCTGAGCCAAACCGGCCAGGGCGATATATCTGTTTCTTTTAGGACTCTCTCCTTCCCTTCCTTCTCTCCCTTTCTTCCTTTACTTTTGCGATTCAATTTTATAATAGAAGAGAAACTATCCACTCATTTTTTTTTGGTAATTGAATGCTATTTTTGTAAGTCACTATGACTTGTTTCAATTGTGCTTTTATATTTTTAATATAACACTGTTCTCGTTTATTAATAGTCTCAAGAGATAGGTTAGTATATTATCTCTTTTTTAACAAAGAATTAAGATATCTCATATCCTCTCCCAAGATCATTTGAAGAACTGTGGCAATCTAGGAATTAGACTTTTGTCTAAAATCAGAGCCTGGTATTTATTCCAATAAGCCAGACAGCTTTATAATTAATAACATTAATTAAGAAGATATTTCACACTTTGAAAGGTATGTATCTCTTTTTTGACCAGGCATTTCAGATGTGAGTCAATAAGAGACTTTTTAAAAAGTAATTTCTATTTGTAAAATTAAAGATGACAGGTTTCCTGTGTGACCTTGAGATGACTTAACTCATTTTGGGGAGGCACGAATTATAGCATGTGGATGTGAGGCCCTCAGTCTCTTTATGCTCATCAATGAATTATTGATTTAATTTGCATGAAATACATAGTGGGCTACATTCTTAGCCCACTTCCATATCTATATCTATATGTAGGTATAGATGTATAATTTCTCTCTTCATAAGGGCTAAACTGAGAACTAAAAGTAATGAGAATTCAGTTGAATATGACTATCAGGGTATATCAATTAGTTCTCTTGATGCTTTACCGTGATGCAAACTATGTGTGTATTTCAAGCATTTTATAATTGTTCTGAACTTAACTATTAAGGCCAGGTTTGTATTTCTGATGCTTTTAATGTTCTTTTAAAATAATGTTTGGAAAATAAAAATATTGAAAATTCTAACATTGCTGAATATCAGATTGCAATACTATGACTTTCCTGTCCATTTACAAACGATCGGAGAAGAGCAGTAATCATTACTGCACAACGGGTGGCAATGTATTGAAGCTCAGAGAGAGTTATTTCCTTAAGAGATGAAATAATTTCGTTGACCACATTCTGTAGCATGCATGAATGCTCAGGCTAAGAATAACTCCAAAGGTTAATTATTTATTAGACTAATTTTCTCACCTGGCAGGATAAGTCCTGATGAAACATTTCGGAAACTTCTTTAAAACAAGATTAAAATCTGGAAAAAGATACAGAGTTCTAGAATTTTTAGCTTATCAATGATAGTTTGGTTTTAAGAGTCAGAAAATATTAATTTAAGCAGCAAAGTATTGACTAGAGGAGATTAGATGTCTACCAAATGGCTAGAAGTTCAGGGCTCTGTGACAGGTGTCCAGGAAAGATTCCAAGGTAAACACTACCCTGACCCGCTAGAGAGCTGCCACTTTTGCTACAAGGAGGAAGGAAGTCGGGAGGCCTCCTCGGACTTTCCACCTCAAGGCACCCTGTTGAAGCAGCCATCCAGAGACCAGGAGCCTGCGCCACCGCCGCCACCTCCGCAGCTAACCCCCTGGACACCTCCGGAGCCAGAGGCCAAACACCACAGCCCGGCTGCAGAGAAAAGTCTGGCACCGTGCACTTAGTTGGTGGAACCAACTTGCCTTTAAAACCCTACCTTCCGCCTTGGCCAGTTTGGCTCACTGCTTAGAGTGTTGGCTCGCAGACTGAAGGATCATGGGTTTGATTCCTGGTCAAGGGCAGGTACCTGATCCCAGCACCTGTTGTTTCACATTGATGTTTCTTTCTCTCTCTCTCCCTCCCACTCTAAAAAAATAAATAAATAAAATAATCAGTAGAACCTGGCCTGTGTGGCTCAGTGGTTGAGCATTGATCCATGTACCAAGGGGTCACTGGTTGGATTCCCAGTCAGGGCACATGCCCGGCGTTGTGGGCCAAATCCCCACTGTGGGGCATGCAGGAGGCGGCCCACCTATGTCTCTCTCATCGATGTTTCCATCTCTCTCTCCCTTTCTCTCTCTCTAAAATCAATAATAATAAAAAAAAAATAAATCTCATTAAAAAAAAAAAAACAATGGAAAAATATCTTCCGGTGAGGACTGACAAAAAACTAACTAAATAAAACCCAACCTTCCTGTAAATCTGGGAACTATAGTTATACCGAAAAGGTAAACCATAAGGAGGTTTGGATATTGAGTTTCAGTTTTCTCTGTCCACAGTGGGCCACCTCTTTGGTTCACAACATTTGTACCTACACCTGTAGCCATTCTTCCAACAGCAGCAACACCCTTCTCCCACTTGGAATAACGCAGCATCTCTCAATTAAACAGAAACATGCTTCCTCTCCTCCAGCCTGGCTGCTTTGATTATTTTCTCTATCTTTGGTTCTGTAGTTTTAATATCATGTGCATCTTTTTATTTATCTTGGAATTTTTTTTGGACTCCTTGAATCTATGTCCTGGTGTCTTTAATCAATTCAGGACAATTATCTTTTCAAGTATTGTCTCTGTCCCATTTTCTCTATTTTTTTTTTTTTAACCTTGGCTTTTATTTTTTCCTATGTTTTTATTTCTTTGTTGCACAGTCATGTACTGCATAACAAAAATTATAACGGAGCTGAAAATGTCCTAGTGATGCAGCCACCACGTCAGGGCGTTTGTGGTGCTGCCGTGTAAACAAACCTCCTGCACCACCAGGCTTGTAAAAATACAGCCCCTGCAGTTAGTACAGTTCGGAGCACTTGGTACTGATAGCAAATGGTGATGTTACTGGCTTATGTATTTACTACGCTTTGACTCGTTATCTGACAGAGTGTACTCTTTCTACTTATGAAAAACGTTTGCTGCAAAATAGTATGCCGGGTTAGGTCTGTCTCCTACATCGTGTGTTCACTGTGTCTTCTGACGGCATCGCTTTCTCCTGTGCTTGATTTAATCTCCTGGTATTTTGTTCCCCACAGCCCCTCAGGGTGCAAACGCCACTGCTAATGTTACCAGGGAGAGGCCACCTCCAGTGATTGACCTGGAAACAAGGAGCCGAGATTCCGGACTCGGAGGGTGGGCCGCCGGTCAGCCTGTCCCATCCCGCCACAGCTGTGACTCTGAAGAACAGGGGCCGCGACAGAGCTGTCAAAGGGTCTGCTTCCCCGACGGCAACAAGACAAACACAAATTCGGAAGGGC